AAACTGAACCCAAAATAACAGTCTGGTTTATTTCCCCCCCCCCCCATTTGATTTGAATCGAGGACTTCAAATCAGTCTCATAAAGCAGAAAATGTTGAAATAAGATGGAAATCATTTCCGTTTTTCTCACTATTTTTCCTAATGCAGCGACACGGACTTCTGACTTCAAAACCCAGCACTACAAGCTCTTTTTGTCGGGTCCTATAATATCTTGAAGCTAAAGCTCTTTATGTTAAATACAGTGGAGTTGATCCAGGTTGGAAATTATAAGGCACGTACTTTTTTTTTTTGTTTTGAACCCACGTGTTCTGAAGTATGATTCCAATCGTGCTATTCTGCATGGCCCATCATAGCTACTGGGCTTGGTTTGTGGTTTGTTTTTTTTTTCTTTTTTTTGGTGATTTTGGACAAAAGGAATGAAAGACCACGAAATGCAGAAAAATGCAGAAAAAATACAGAAAACTGAGAACGAAAGCAAACACAACACATTGATACAATCTACGCTACAACAGCAAGGCTCAAATCTTCTCATTTCTTTGCCCAACAAAGCACTGGCAACTGCAAAGCACTCTTTGTTTTGCTCTGGAAATACCTGACTTTATTTAGACACACAGGGGTTTATCACTGGATTGCCACAATACCTGAAATTAAAAGTAGGCTCTTTTTTTCCTTCGACCTTTTTTTAACAAAACAAAGCTGCCAAGTTATTGTTGTTGGAAAAATATGAGAGGAAATAATAGATAACTACAAAATGACAAACTAGAACAACATCTGAGAAGAGAAGAATAGTTAAGGAACATATGAAACCAAATGGCAACAGTTCTAGGCATTTATTCCAATATCTTAGAAAATAAAAATAAAAAATATTCTTCATTGCATCACCATTTAAAGATAGAAAAACAACTTTTCAGATTAAGCCAAATGACGATGTGAATTATTTCCTTTTTTTTTTTTTTTTTTTTTCCCCCCCATTTGAAGCCTTGTTTATTCACAGTACAAATATACCCTGCTGGTACATTGGTTTTTTTTTAAGTCACAAAGTCTGATAAGGAGCACTGTTTCTCTTCTCCTCTGTAAAGCCGCTCTGCCCTACAAAAAAATCCAGCCCCCCCCCCCCAACCTGTTCAGTGCCTTCTGAAATTCCAGAACAGATCCACACCGAGTGCCTTATACAACTGGTAGTACAAGGTCGAGAGCATGCATTCCCACACACAGGCTCAGCCAAGGAAAAAAAAAACAAATTCCATGATTATTTGAAATCCACCTTAAGGCAACTAGAGATGTAGCTTCTACCTCTTGCTGAAAATTTTGACTTTTCAAGTTTCAAACATGAAGCTGCAATTCAGCAAATGTTCAGCATAAAGAATGCTTTAACCAAAAAGGAAAAAATGGAAAGGAAATGTTCTTCCCAGCAATAAATCAATTATTTTGTCTTAGTTCTATCTACATTTTGTTAAAGCATTTTATGCACTTCCAACAAAATCAGATTGCAAGGGGGGTTTATTTTGGCAACTTTTTTTTTTTTTAAATAAAAATCCAGACAGTGTTCTCTGTTTGCAATCAGAACCACAACCTTAGTGCAATATTATATTTATTTCTTACAGTAATTTTGGTTGCCATACAAGAGTATTAAGGATTGGGGAAAAGTGCAAGTTACAGGAGCTTGATTTTTTTTGTTTTAATCAGTCGAAATAAGAGGAATTAAAGCACAAAAATTACAGCAACATAGATAACGTGAACACAAGTTGTTACACAAACTATAGCGAGAAACATATTAATATCTAGAAAAGAAAAGAAAAAATGTAATGGAAAAATTATCAATATTTGTGGCTCATACACATAATCATCGCCAGATCAACTGGGTAATGCTTTTTAAGAACTGAGAAAAAAAAAAAATCACTATTTTTATTAACTAAAGTACCACAAATAATTAACTTTTGTGATATGTAAATTCTGTAAATCAACAGTCACATCTAGTCATTTTATAATATATTAATTAAACTTAAAATGTTCTCAGACACCTAGGGAAAGGAGTCTGTGCAGTTATACACAATTTACATCTTGTAAGGTTTTGGTATTGTATACACAAATATTACAGAAACTAGGCATGTAAATGCAATTTATTTAAATTACAGTATATAAACAAAAGTTGATCCTAAAACCCAGAATATCATAACGTATTTCATAGATCTCTAACAACGTGGTTTGCACTATCATAGTAGCATGAAATAAATGGGTCTTCTCTCCTCCCCCCCCAATATTTCCAGACCGATGAAAATAACTCGGAGGCAACGTCGTTATCTGTTACTATTGCTTTCTGGAGCAAAACCATCACCCAGAGCTAGCGACCAATTCATCTCGGCAGAGGTGCATTTTAGTGGTGAAAGCCGGTCCCCTCAGGTCTCCTTACCTTTCCTTTGTAAGACACAATGTAAAAAATAAACTATTTCGTTAGCTCTTTCATCGCGTTAAACCTCTTTTCTACGGATCGCCTTGTCCCTACGCTTTCAGTACCTGAAAAGAGACACGAGCAAGAAACACACCTGCGTAAGAAAGGGATGAACCGCCAACTGCACTTTGCCACTTGGTCAACGTAAAGTCAACAAGAAGGTTGTGATTAAAAAGCAGCTTAAAAGTCAACTTCTACATTTTCTTTTACTACCGTATGTTCTACTGTGTTTTCTGGCACATGTTATAGAGGTAATATCAACTGTACCCAAAGAAACAACAAAACAAAAAAAAAAAAAAAAAAAAAGAGCATGGCATTAGTGGTTTATTTACTGAATTCTGTCGTATCACCAATGGAAGACAATGATGGCTAAATTACCATTTTTTTTACACTTCTTAAAGTATTTGATGGCCTCAAGTTGCCTGTAGCGACTAGCTGAATGAAACTGCCGTTTTCTACACCACCTATGGAAAAATTCAGTACTCTTGGAAGTAAAACGCCTTAGTACTTGGTTTTTATTACAAGGTTACTTGGAACTTTCAAATACAAATATAGCGTAGTAACAGATGGTAAGTCAAAAGATTTGTTGTTCCGTAAAGGGGGCAGGAGGCTAAATAAGTTGCTTTTTTATGAGAATCCAATGCGTTGGTAACTATAACCACTTTTGAAGAAATATTCATCCTCCTTTGTAGAAGTTCTAGCAAAGATAGAAAATATAACACAGCTCTGCTGGTTCAGATGCATCCAAATGAGGTTGATTTTAAAAAGGTCAAGACTTTATAATTGTTCCACAGAAATAGTAGTAAACCACAAAAGTTGTTTTTTTTTTTTTTTATTTTTTTTCTGTTTTTAACTTTCTAGCACTGAAGTGGCACAAAGGCTGCCCAGTAGACCAGCCACTTATTTTCTTAAAATATTGTGCTTATAAACTATCTGTACAACTATTTAAACTTGCAGTAAAGAAAGATATTTAAAATGCTAAACTTTATGTACTCAGACTAGGGCTGTTGCAGACCTAATTAGACACTTGTTTGTGAGCAAAAAAATAATCACAATAAAAAAATTAGAGATAGGCTGGACCATATCAAGGACCATATCAAGGAAAGAAAGTTCAGGTACCTTGCAAAATGGAAGAGAACCTGAACGAATGGTAGGTAGGCAGTCTGGCCATCCACACACAATTTACCCACCTTGAACATCTTGAATGTTATGTTAATAAAGACCTATAAAACTCACAGATATTAAGAGGTGTTAATTACAAGGGGAGTTCAAACATGCAGAGAGAGACTTGTTAACTTTAAAAAAAAATAAAATTTTTTAAAAAGTCAGATTAACCAAATCTGTGTGTTTCTCCCTTGGTGACGGAAGTCTCCTGGCAAGCTCTCCAGCTCTGTCACCCCACCTCCCGGTCCCCACTCAGCCACAGCACCGCTCCCGTGAGCTCGCTAACAGCCCTGCAGCTGCAGAGAGGTCCCCGGAGGCAGACGGGCAGCATCCAGCTCCCCGTGAAGCGCTCAGTCTGCTCTCCTTGTCAAGAAGCCAAGACCTGTTAACAGCGATAAAAATGAGAACCTGGCTACCTACCCAGTTCCCCTGGCCCCTGGAACATGGGCATCCTGAGACACTGTACGCCTCTTTCCATCTTGGCATTACCTTTTTTTTTTTTTTAACAAGCTGAAACATTTCAATTTCTGCTAACAGGCTGAAATCCTTCTCTCTTAAAATACTGGCAACCTTCCCACTGACTTCAATGGGAACATTCATCTATCTTCTTATTCTTTCTCGGCCTGATGTTCAAAATAGCTCTAAGCACTTACCACTCACTGAATCAAACAGCATCTCTCAGGGTTCAGCATATTTGTCTGTGATGTCCCAAAGATGCGTCTGCCCATAAACCCCATTTTTTACTGGCTTGTAGAGTTCATGGTGCAATTTAGCAGTAGTTTAGCTGGTTGAAAACTGGGGGATCTCAGGTTCAAACTAGCTTCATTTGGTTGTACCTCTAAGTGTGCCTTCCTCCTCAGTTTTTTATGCAACGTCTGCATCGTCTTACAGGTCAAGTCAATGGAGCATGTATTGAACTTGTTCTGCCACCTTGGAAGAGCGCTAAGTATAACTGCAGAAATAAAGAAATACCAGGTAAAACAGAGCAAGGTTACCTTCGAACTAATTCCAGCAGAACAACCAGCTTCACTGCCAACAAATCAGAGAGCTAAACTAGTAAAAACCAGTAATATGAACTCTGTACCTGGCTTAATATTGTGCCTCGGCTACTAATAAAAATGGGTTTAAATGGTAATGAAGCAATCTGTCGTCTTAAAATGAACACAGGGTTGGGGAAGGAAGCCTGCTTGGAGACTGAATGTCAAGAAGAGAATATAGTGCTTTTCAAGAAAAAAAGGAAATGCTTGCAATTTTCAATGGAAAGAAAAGTGGTATGTAATGGTTCCAGCAGAAGGGCGTTCTCAAGAGATATTATTTTTGAAGTTAACAATTTTCTCTCTCTCTCATATCTCCCCACACCTTTGAAATAAAATGGCCCCACTCATGTAACATATTTAAATTTATGTTTGGGCATGTAGCATACAGTCTGCAGTACCTGAGTACCAGGAATTAAACTCTCCTCCCCTCCCGCCCCCCAATTTTGCTGGCACTCGCAGACAGACAAGGCATTTGGGGTATTTCAGTACCAGCCCATCTCTAGTTCTCAACAGAAGGTTGTGAGGCAAAATAGCTATTCTTATCTGTCCAGCAGCTGCTTCAAAGCTCTTTCTATGTTCATTCTGTGCCCAACTCTAGTCACTCCAAGGTCTATCAGATCTTCCTTTTGTAGATTTGGTAAATGAGTGCCATCTATTTCATTGTCCATAAATGTTTCTTTATGTTCACCTAAGTTTAGACTTTCCAACCAATCTGCCACATCTGGTTTAGTCCACAGGTGGACAGGCTTAGTTGTAAAAGGCTTATTTGAGATTGGCTGTTGTAATATTGAGGGAGAAGGAGACCTGCTGCGCCCTGTGGTCAAGCCAAATAAGTCCCCAGAAGGGGGCTGGCTGGGTAGGCTAAATACATCGGACAAAGTCGGAGAAGGAGATGAAGCTGAAGCAGAAGCAGTCAGAGGAGCAGGCATGATGTCTTTATTAATCTCTGTTGGTGAAACCACAGGGCTTGGAGCATGTCTTGCTCCTGAGGTCCTACTGTCATAGTCTGGGGACCTGCTCTGCAGTGTGATCGGCTGGCTGGTTCCAGGTCGGACAGTGAAAGTGATTGTTGTACTTCGTGTACCTGAGACAGTACTCATGACTTCCGTGCTCCTGAAATTGTAAACAGACATGGAAAGTTAGATACATCCCCCATGAGCTGAAAGGTTGTCCATATCAACACGTGGTAAATACAGTTTTGGAACGCTTGAATGGCTTCATTTTTTAAATGAGCAATATCAGGTTAAAAGTACTAAGATGGTATCATTAGGTCTTTCCCATCAAACAGTCATCAATGGTAAGCCATGGTTAAAAACAAACCTTTGCTTATGAGCAGTTCAGAGCACATTCTTCCTTTGTAAGGCTACAACAAATTCACTCCTGGTTAAATGAGAAACACCAAGTGCTGCCAAGAATTGATCTTCCCTTTGTGGTACAGAGGGGTGGGATCCTTCATTTCACTTTTAACCTGCCACGTTTACCCACTGTTAGATAACAGAGCTAGTAACAGTAGTTATGGAAAGTGTTGGAAGTGTATTATTTTCTTGGATTTTGGATCTTTGGGCATCTACTCAGTGAATTGGAGGGTATGTTTGTGTTCCCATTCCTTCACAGAACACGCTCCACAAGCTCCTCTTATCTCCCTTTCCGTTCAGCTGGCATTCTCCTGCTTTAAAAATGGATCAGTTCTTCTAAGCTTCATAAAAGAACATTTGTGTCCATTTCTTTCTACCCAGCAACTATACTTTGGCAGTTCCACTGCAAAACTTAAAAGAGACAAAATTCTTTTTCCTGTGCATACCCAGAGGTGATGTAGTTGAGATCAAGTCACCAGCACCTATCTCTTGCCTAAAGGAAATTTCAGATGCCAAGCTAAGCAGGCATGAAACCTGCCGAGAGGCTCTCTCTGATGTGGAGGCTGAGGGGTTGGGTGCAGATGAGTCTGCTGTTGGCTAGCGGCTATAGAACAAATTTAGAAGCAGAAGATCTGCGTTCGGGTCTGTTCGTATAAAATGCTTAACCCCTCAGCCCTTACTTCTCATGAGAACCTTCTGCCGGTCGGCATGTGCACGTCAGGATCTTCTGCTGAGCCCTTGGGTGCCTTAACCTCGGAAGTTTTTCACTTCAACTTCCTGACAAGTAGGAAAACCTGCAGAAAACTAATTTCGGGGACTTCCAGACCGAAATAAGGATTTATTTATCCTTGAAGCAATGTCACAGACTCCAGAGGACCATCTGGAGGATGCCCTAGTGAGATTTCTAACCCAGACCCTGTCTGAAGCCCTCTGTGCCGTCGTGCCTGGGCAGAACTGAGGCTGACTTGGGTGCACAATGTCAGATAGAAATGCCTTCATTAATAATGCAGATCCACCGCTGCGCAGAAAAGATCTTACGGAGCCAAAGGATGTTGTTCTGGAGCCCCCATATTTGAAGTGCTGTTACGGAAGAAACTGCAGTCTCGTCCCAAGTCAGTGCTTAAAGATTTTGTGCTAATTGCCAGCAAATGAAGTACCATAAGTGATCCACACAGCAGGGGTGAAACCCCCGAGGTACGTCTCTCACCACTAGATCTGCTTTATGCCCGAGAGGCTCTCTCCTGCTCCTCTGCCCGGGTTGATCACGAAGGCTCTGCTCCGTCCTGTGACTGCTGGGGAGGAGGATGCGGTGCATGGGGTTATCCTGCCTTACTGGATCCGCTCCCTCGTGCCATGTAATTGCGAACGCCCATGGAAGGGCAGTGACTTGACTTTGGTCACTCAAATCCCAAAGAGTGGCAAAAATTTTTAAATAAAAAGATGGTGGCACCAGCACTTCCTCATCTACTCTAACCCACTCCCCCTGTGCAGCACTCATCACTACCAACATGCAGAAATACAGGCAGCTGACCTGAGGTGATGAGAAGGGGTTATTCATTCCTTTCTCATTAACAAACCTGGACACCAGGTAACCCACAGCACTGCTACAGCGAGGCTCAGAGCTCGCTCCTACCGCAGCCAGTCTCATTCAAACACAGCTCCAACACTGTGCCCATCAGAAAAGAACTGAGAACAACTTTTTGGAGAACGTACGTGTTATTCACAGGAGCAATCCCACTGGTTTCCCACAAATTGTTCCATAGATTTCAGTGGGAACAGGGGGATCTTTTTGAGAGCTGAAAGATTGGTACTTCACTTAAAACACGGTAGGAACAACACTTGTAGCACTTGTGTCTTTGTAATCTAACAAAGAAGGGAAACACTTGGCAACGTTTTGAGTGTTTCCTGGGATTTTTTTGGAGCTTACTGGCTCTCATTGTCTTCCAGGACTGGAGCTAAGCATTCCTATAAAAAGTCTATGGCAAGAAGCTATTAAATTCTGCTAAGCAAGGGGAGCAAGTTATTTCTACCTACTTTAACATTAGGAGTCTCACACACTCTAATAAGGCATGATGTAACTTTAAATCAACAAAAACCTGCTTGGAAAAAGGTGGTGATGATGCTGTCCTAGCAATTGTGAGAAGAGCAGCATGGGGTTTGTACAGGGGTGGAAATGTCTCCCTATCTCTTCATCTGCAATTACCCTTTTACTTAACTTTCCTGTCTTGCAAATACTAGAAACGATGGGTTTGTATTCACACCCATTGTGGCAATATCAAATGGATGATGAAAATCTATCTTCTATTATGCCAGATGCTGAAAGATCACTTCTGTTACTTGACTGACAGCTCCAGGCTCCACGTACTCCTTCTGCTTCGGAACTCACTTTTGCTGCATCTTCTCTGTATTGTTCCTCTCACAGACTCTCTGCTCATGTTCAGGAAATCATTGTCACTGTTCCTTTAAAGAAACTATATTAAACCACTAAAACAAAACCCCTAAAAGGAAACTGGGGGGTTTTAAGTATTCCTTAGACTAGTGTTACCCAACCTCAGCCCCACGAGCAGTGACACTGGTTGAGCAAAGCGATACAGGCAACGTGGTGCTTGGCTTTCTGTCAGCCTGCATCACAGGAACAGCTTCACGTGGCCACAAGCAATAGGAAAACATCTCTGGGCATCTTGCTTTTTTCAAGCCATGGGTTCAGGACTACTGACTATTAAAAATACATCTCTGGAACAATGATAAGAATTTTTTTTTAATTTTAGCTGATTATTGAGACTTCAATACCAGCTCAGTTTAAAGCCACATCAGTACTTAAGCTCTTATAAAATTAACCCTTTCATTAGAAAGCTCAGAGCACTTTGTTAACATGAACAGATTTAATCCTACAGCAACGTACCTTCTTCAAGAAAGCTGTTAGTTCTGCTGCACACCAGGGCACACAGACAAGCCTGTGAGGCAGGAGATGTCCCCACTGCTGCGGTGAGGGGTCCTCTTTAGGACGAGTTTTAACCACAGCAACTTGAGGTCACTGCTGCCTGCACAATTATTTGGCAACCTGCAAGACTGAGTTTGCGCTCGGGTCCCAGCTGCTGGCTCTGCGACCAGCTCCACAGCCTTCCCGGCACAGACACAATGCTTGCGAAGGTCACACAAGGCTGCTGAAGCCCACAATTGCATTTCCAGGCTTTCAGTTCAAAGTTTTTAATTCCAAGATTCATTTTTTTACCTTTCTTTTTCCCCTCTTTCACCCGCCACATCAACATGTTATAGAGAGTGGGGTACTGTAATTGTAACCCAAGGAAAAACCCTCCCAAGTTCGTGTAACTCCTCTGCATCCTAAATGATCATTGATGACACCTCCAATACAACCTGTGCTGCAGATACAGCCTTGAAACCATCAGCTGTCTTACATTTTACTGTTGATTGGTATCCTGGTCAATAAGGAGCAAGTGCATTCCAGCTGGAGAGCAGGCATGGTTTATTGTCTTGGGGGTTTTCCAGATTTTTAATAAGAGCAATTGCTTATGCCTTATTTGATCATCTGTTATACTAAACATACTAAATCCATATTAAACCTGCCTAAGCCCAAATTTCATTTTAAAAAGGTGAAAAGTCTGATAATTATTTTAAATAAGATTTTTCTGTTAGAACCAGGCAGTAATTTCTACACATTTGCTGCCTTAATTGCAATGCCCATTATGTTGCCTCACACGAAAATCACAATATATAATTCCTATGTCACAACGGTGTGGCCTCCCAGCATAAATTCTTTTAAAAGAAATTCTTTTCAATCTAGAATGAGATTTGCAGGATTCAGATTTACTGTCAACTTAATATCAGCAGCAAATCAGGGCAAGAAGGCACACTGCAACAGCTCCTAGGAACCTCCCATGGGAAAACCCAAACCCCAAACAGCTCTGATGGGAGCTGTTTTATCCTGCAACTTACCAAAAGATTTCTTGATTCTGACAAAGCTTTTCCAGTGTGTCAGAGAAAAAAATCTTAACAGCCAAGAGGACTAATGAGTGAGGTGAGGCTCTGCCCAGAGGTACTGTGTGAAATTTAACTTTTTACAGATCTTTGAGAACATACAACCCCAAAACTTGGCCTTCAGCTTTTATAATATTTTTACTTTATTTTTGGATTGTCTAAGGAAAATTGTGTGGTAGGAAAGTAAGGCAATAATTGCCTGTTTTGGGGGAAGATTAAGAACAAGGGCTGATGTGATGACTGGCAGGATACAGAGCTTCTTATAATAGCGTTCCTTTAGTGAGAAGAATTGAGAAATGGTTGGTGTCTGTTGCAAGTAACTGTTCAGTTGGAGCGGAGAATAATCATTAAGGTCTGTGGGTGTCTGTTCAAGAACAAGTTTCCATGTGGATGGCACAAATATCTGGAAAACAGCAGCAAGGGAATGGTGTTGATGAGGGGCAGGGTATGGCCCCAGCCCTCCTTCCCGGGACAGCTGCAGGGAAAAAGGTCAAGGGAAGCTGGAAGGAAAAGGGGGAAATTCCCCAGCTTCCAAGGATGAAAGACCCAACAGGTATGACTGCAGCAGTGCTTGATTATGTTGAGGGCTAGTTTGTCTTTACTTTGAACCTTACATAGGTATGTAAAACTGCACTATTCATCCCTTCCCACCCCAAAGCGCTCTCCCAAAATCCCAGCAGAATTTGGGCATCTTTGAAAAATCATGCTCCTTATTTAGGGGCTCAGCCACAAGTTCAGGAACCTGGTCTGACGTGCTCGTTT